TGCATTCATTCTGTAATTTTCAGCATTTAAAATGGAAACAGCACTGATTTATCTTGGAATATGCTTTAAAGCTATCAGAATGTGTTAAAGGATGGCACTGTTAAATAAAAAAAAAAGAATGAATGAATACTGAGGACTGTTTTAAGTTATTACACTTACTTATTCTAACACTCATTACAGATTCATAAATTCAGATACATAAATGATAAATGAATATTTATATATATATATAACAACACAAATTTTGTGTTAGGATCACTAGTGCCAGTGTCTCTTGCTTTTACAATTCACTTATAGAAGATTATTGAAAAACCTTGTTTTTTTGTAACAGGAATAATAATTGGAAGCTATCCATATACTTTTGCAACTCAGAAAACGTTTATTCTTCAAGCAATTTACTCATTTCCCTCATTTCTTTTTATTGTTCTATTGGTCTTCACCATAATAGAAAAAATTAAATCAACACAAGATTCCTGTAATTTTTCTTTCACACAAAACACTACAAACTACAGGTCTTGTGCTTAACTACATACAATTCCTTAGAACAAGAACAGAAAGACTGGAGTCACAAGAGATGAGAATAGTAATAGCTATAGTAATTGCAAAGTGGTCTCTACTACTTAGATAGGCAAGTACCATACCTTACCAAGCACCCATGCCCTGCAACCAGAATATGACCCTACTCTTAGTCTAATTTACTAATCAACCTTTCTTACACATTTGAACCCTTTGAAAAGTTCAAGACAAAGTATAAAATAGACTGTAACAATTTTTAATCATCAGCCAGCTACTGATGCTCAATTCAGCCATAACTTCTTTTCCTTTCCTTATTAGGTAACAAATTTTTCAGATCAGCTGCAATCTTATGATGTAACAACATCTAAGGGACTGACGCAAAGTTGTTGTCTGTTTTACGCACCATTAAATGCCCAAATATATTCCAAATATACTCCAATTTCCCCTTGGGATCAATAAAATGTTTTCCTTCTTATCTCTTTTGTTCTAGGGTGGACGTAAAATTCAAGATAACATGCATAATTTCTACTGCATCTCCTGACTTTAAAAAGCTGCAGTGCGATGCACAAGCACAGTTCTTTTATTAGCCTACATGTGATGAATGCAGAGTTCTACTCTTATGGACTCTTAAAAACAGTGAGAATCTACCATGCCAATAGCAGAGATAGAATTATTGAAACAACACCCAAGAAAATCATAATTATTGATGGGATTTACCATCTACTCCAATTTTTCCATCGCTGTTACCATCTGAACCTGACATAAAGTTCTTGGTTTCATTCTCAGTCAGAGTACGTGCCCTTGGGACAAAACGCCGCAAGAAGAACCTGAATCAAACAAAATAAAAATAAAATGACGTACTAATCACACACTAATAACATGCATACATGCATGCAAGGATAAACACAGCTTAATTTTTAGGAATTACATTTAAACCACATTTGATGCATTCTCATTCTCAGTTTCCTAGCCAATCAGGTATCAGCAGTTTTAAAGCATTAAGGCTCTCTGTTTCATTGCGAGTGTGCAAAACCCTAGGCAAAAATGATACTGCAGTCACTATCAAAGTCCCTTACATGCCCTTGCCACATGGTCTGTAGACAGAATTACATAATGTAGATAAACCACACAAAACACCCGAGTGATGGATTAGATTTGGAAGTGGTTTAGAGAAAATACATTCTCTGGCAGAATCTAATTGAAGTTGATACAAAAGCTGCTTAGAGCAAAATTTTTTTATTCATGATTAAAGAGCAGGGTATTGCATCTGTTCTATGTCTTAGCGTTCTCAAATAATGGACAGAAAAGTGTCCATTATGTGATGACTACAAGTCAGTATAAAAGCAGAGGAAACTTGAAAATCAGTTAATGATAAGTGAACATTGGAACACTCCTCTATTTTCATTAAACAAAAAGCATTACAATAAAATTTTTTTTATACTTAATACATACTTGAGCTCTGACTCCTCAATAAACCCGCTGTTGTTGTCATCTAAGAGACGGAACACTTCCCTGACTTCCTCTGGACTTTTCTTCGTCAAGCCAATTAGCTGGAAAAATTTCTTGTAACTGAAGGAGTCTGGGGCTGTTAAGAAAAGTGCACACGACAGACAGGTGATGCAACCAAACTAAGAATCAACCAACATGACCTCTCTTCAGATTGCTTCCACTGCACCTGAACATTAAGCAGTGAGCTCAGTACTAAATTTACAGACAAAGTCATTTTACCTCAAATACTAGGATTGACTTTATATTTCATGTGATCTTAATGATAACATTCTTGTTTAATTCATTTTACAACCAAACAAATCCCCCATGTGTCCCTTCTGTGTGTTTTGTTCTGCTACAGCTCACCTTCACATTCCTTAATGGCATTCTCAATGGCTTCAGCAGAGAGGATATCAGTGAGAGACATATTCATCCTGTCAAGAAACAATATGATAAATGATTTCCATCAATGCAGGAGTAAACCCATTTGTTTATCAACAATCTTCCTTAATAAAGGCTACAGGGGAAGTGTTTAACATAGAAACATAACTGAACTAGAATATTCCTACCATTAAGTTTAATTCTCAATTTGTTTTCAGAGATTACTGTCTTATAAACATGTCGTACACTTACCTGGAAAAATAAATCTCTGGAAAAAAAACAGCTGCACACTCTCAGATACAAAGGCACCAAATTGTACTTTTCCCTGTCGCTGCGGTTGTGCCATTAATGCTACACAAATCTTTTGTAAATTAGTTTCACCTTAAGAATTTGAATATAGCGGTACATTTAAGGCAGGCCCCTGATGTACCTTTAAAGCTTTACTCTAAAATTTTGATGAATATACACCACATGCAGCTAACCAGGTAAAAGATACATTCTAAATGTACAAAAAGTAAAAAGAAATCTGTGCCATTAATAGTACTACACCAGAGACAATGAAAGGGACTTGCTATATTTTTTATTACCATAATTAATATATTACCATAGGCTACATGTTAATGGATATATATATATATATATATATATATATATATATATATATATATATATATATATATATATATATATATATATATATATATATATATATATATATATATATATATATATTATACAGATGGTGAACATAATGTAAATCTTAACTGTTAGTATTTAAGGTTGAGAGGTTATTTAAGTTGGGTTTTTTTCAGAGAAAAATGCTAAAATTAACTGTAAAAACTAGGCCACATTCAAGATTATATTTCTTCCACCATCAATACATCTCAGCCATAAGTGCAAATATTTTACTTATATACTTTAATAATTATGCTCCAGCTTCAATGAGATTTAAATTTACATTTCTATGTCACAGATCTAACTTTGTCTATCCCGTTAGCTTTCTCTGACTGAGTGGAATGGAGATGCTGAGATGATGCTCACCGATGTGCAGTCACTCCCCTGCTGGTTCAAAGCACAGTTCTTCTCAATGTGTGTTTCCGATTGAGTGTGGACTTATATAAGGGCTGGTGACACAGACGATGTCTGACTATAAGGTTACCTGTCGGTGGATCAGATTCTTGCCATAAGGCTCTACTTACCGGCCTAATTAACCTTTAGTGTGAGCAGTGCGCGCCCTGCAGACACATGCACTACACACACCAATTCACACAACTCAGTGCTTCATTACCACTCTCACTCTCACAACCTAGACACGCTCTCACTCACACACACTTCTACAGCCGCAGTTACACATTCATGCACATTTTGTCACACGTGAGTGTGTGCGTCTGCATATCATATAGTTTCAATTCAAGTCATTTTTATTTGTATAGTGCTTTTAACTTTGGATATTTTCACAAAGCAGCTGTCAAGAGATATATAAATACAGGATATACATTTTAAATGTATAAATTAATCCGCAATGATCAAGCCAGATGCAATGGTAGCAAGGAAATATTCCCTGAGGCAATATGAGGAAGAAACTTTGAGAGGAACCAGACTCAAAAGGGAATCCTTCCTCATCTGGGTGACAACAGATAGTGCAATTATAAAAATATTCCTTCCATAACTGTGTGTGATATAGTCAAATACTGAATTGTGTAAACAGGACATTCATTGTAGTTTTTAACATGAAGTCTATTTTGTTGAAGTTATCAACTGTTCACTGATGGAGACTTGAGTTCTGGCAAACTATTCATGGCCGTTGCAATCCTAAGCCATTTTCATGGTTTTTAAGTGGTACCATACACAGTAATATAATATATCATTAGATTGTCCATATGGGGCCATCCTCAGCAGCAGTGAGTGGTTTCCAAGTTATGAGAATTCCAACTAGAAGTAGGGCACTTACATATGCATGTACGTAGGTGACTATATGACAACACACACATATGACCTTCCTGATAAATTATTTTCATTCTCACAAGACACATCTGAAAATGTGGATTAATTTGCCACATCTACTCCATTCATTAATTAATTCATTCATTCATTAATTCATCTTCAGAAACTGCTTGAGCCTGGTCACGGTCAAAATTGATCTGGTGCCCACCCTGGATGCACCAGTCCATCATTGTGCACCATTTACACACATATTCACGCAATTCACACTTAGAGAGAACTGAGTGTAATCAATCCATCTATTGTATATTTTTGGACAGTGGGGTGAAACCAGAGCCCATGAGAGGAAACCCACAAGAACATGGGGAAAACAAAGGAAGACCAGGATCAAGCCCATGAACCCTGGAGCTGTGAGGCAGCAATATTACCCATTAAACCATCATGTCACCCACATCTGTTCTATTACAAAGAAATCATTAAGCCTTGCGCCAATTAATAAAAAACTCTCTTATGGCTACTCCAGTTTCACTGTTACCACAGCGGATCACCCATCTACATATCGATTCTGGCACAAGTTTTACACCGGATGTCCTTCCTGACACAACCCTCCTCATTTTCTGGGCTTGGGACCAGCACTGAGAGTGCACTGGCTTCTGCAGCCCTCCAGTGGCTGGTTCCCTGACTGAGAATTGAACCCAGGCCACAGTGATGAGAGAGCTGGATGCTAGCCACTAGTCCACCAAGGAATCCAATGATCCAATGAAGTACTAAACCAAACAAAAGTGTGTCAAACACAATATAGTATATATGCAACCTTTATCAGAGGGATGTTGTTGGGTTGTTAGATATCACTGTAATGAACTCACTTATACTTCTTACACAGGTGGCGTCTGTTCATCCGTGTCTTTTACATTTACTGTATATGTATAGTGGTTATGCTTTACCAGTGCCAGATTTAACTTATTTAATGAAAGAAAGAAAAGTATCTCAATTATTGTGTGTTCCTGCAATGGCCCAGTGCTCCCATGATAGGATCCAGCATAGTGTTGAGGATCAGGATGTAAAGCTTACATGATCATGACAGACTTATTTTTGCTTCAAGTGCATTTTTAATTTTTTTGTAATGATGTCCATATCTCCTTGTACGCTGTTTAGACATACTTCTGTAGCAGCTCTGGCAGCTTTACCAATGTTACTAATGAAAAAGATGTGTTGATAATGCTGTAAGTGCAACCTGTGGATGAGTGACAGAGGTTTCAGTGTCAGACTTGCATCAGCATAAGCTCAGTAAAGCCTGATGTTCATAATGTGTGAGATGATAGAGCGACAGTGCAGCTCGGGGCTATGAGGTTGTCCTGAGGAAGAAGAGACGACATATGAGCCTGACAACAGAGTCTAATGTCAAAGAACTTACTGGTAGTGTTACAGTGTAGGGAACTATCCCATAACATTTTACTTTGCATTTGTGGATAGAAGCTGCATATTTTTGAAGGATGGTTATAACAAGCAACCGCAAACAAATAAAGATCATATCATTCTTAACATATTTCAAGCAAACTGACTCTGCTAGCTTTCCACAGGTTGTAGCAATGTAGCTAAATATCACTTAGTGTTAACTCCAAGCATCGCTGAATGACTTTAATAGGTTGCGTTTTGTTAGCCAGCTTGCTTAGTAAGTAACGGTAATGGATTCATATTTCAGATTAGTTTTATTTAGCCAGGCTTAGTCTTGCACTGCATAGATTTAGGCAACCGCAAAACCCAATTTGCTCAGGGGCATAGGGTGAGAAACAGGGTTGAAAATACTCACAAAGATCACTGATTCATTTCTCAGAAATATCATAAAACATATAAATGATTGCAACCAAGCATAGAAACCATAGCGCTGATCTGAAAGAATAACAAAAGAAGTAAATAATAATAAATAAATCATACATCTACAGTAATCCAGCTCTTTGCTCAAGCATAGAAAACAGTGACAGAAATTCTACCTGCAATCTACAAAAACCTATTGGCCGTATTCAGAGTTGAGTAACACGCACGTACGTAGTGAGGAGCTAATACTGGAATTGTGTACAGTGGTATTCAGATTAGACTGTGGATGTAAACAGAGACATACAGATGTGGCTTTTAAGAATGCACTTTTTTTCACACGGTATCACATGTTTCGTCACATGTGATCGCGCGGTATACCGAAGGCATGTTGTTCTTCACACAACAACCACAGGTGGCGCATGGAACAACATACTGTAGCTGAACACAGTACAATAAAAATGGAATATGTAGTCGAATGGTTCACATAAAAATATTACATTACTCATCATATCTTATGATACGTTTGTGAATACAAGCTTATGTAAAATATAAAATGAGTGCGATCGAGTCTTTTAGTACAGGTACAATAACTATAGTATTTAAATTAAGGTGGCTCTGCATGTGTGTTGGATAGTCCAGCGGTAACGTGCAGGTTTACTATACCAGTGAACTGGTTAGAGCCTCAGCTCAACTACCTACAAACATTTGATCTGCTTTTGTAAGTCTCAGGGGTAAAAGTAATATTTAGGACATAGGGAAGCTCTATTTCTTTCATGGGTGCCAAAAACATGGGGAACAGAACTGTTAACTGCATGTTTTAATAAATGTATATCTTCACACTGATATCATGGAAATGTGATTAAAATGATTTCATTGCACATGTTTCTATTTCAAGGGGTTCATCCAAAAACTATTTATTGATTAGGTTCATCAATCAAACCTTAGATGTTTATTATTCCTTATATGTCAGGTTGAGCATCAGAATCATGCTGAAACAATTCATTCAATCATTTACATATTTGTCCTGGTCAGAGTCACGGTAGTCTCACTAAAAAAAGTCAAACTTTTAGCCAACCAGACAGCCTACAGTGCATGTGTTTTGAATGAGGGAGGAAACCGGGGAAGCATGGGGAGAACATGAAATGGGATTTGAACCCTTAACTCCATAGGTGCAAGGCAAACATGCTAAAACTTTCTTGCTTTGACTTAAATCTATCTGCATTTTCTGCATTTTCAATCCCTATTGAAACCTGAAAAATCCTGCAAATGGTTTGGATCCAGATTAAATTAGGTTCTCACTGCACTCAGACCTCAGACCTCAGGGTTTAATTGAAATTGCACCTCTCTCAGGCTCTCTCAGACCAGTTGTTTTGGTCCTGTCCCAGTGAACAACACCATTATCAGCATCACTTTCTACCATAGATTGCTTGTGTGTCCTAAGGTGTTTTTTTTACATGGGAAAACTATCTGTATTAAAGGAGCAGTTTCTAACTTAAGAGCCCACACTCTAAAAAACACTAGGTTAAAAACAACCGAAATTGGCTTATCTCCTTTATTTATACACAAGAAAGTGTTCAGAAATGTATTGCTAGAGCTGCTAAAGTGGTGTTTATATATAGACTTTGAAGTAACTGACTCAAATAAGTCATATATTTAAGATGACAGGTTTTGATCAAAGGAGACGTTTAAAACATCCAAAAAATTGAGTAACCAACTTATGATCCAGAGGTCATTACACACAAGTAAGCCAAAGCTAACAAAGATAGTGGTGCATTTTATGTCATGTAAACTGGACTGTTATTACACATTTTTGCTTTATCTCGTGTACAGGAATGGTTTTAGGGATAAATATATTGATAGAAACCTTCCAAATAAATCTAAAAGTCTGTCTGTGTGAAAACAGTCCATACTGAGTTGATTTGACCTGGAGCTGGACTGAGGCGTCAGGGTGGGGGAGGGGTGCATCGATTCAACTGTCAGTGAAAGTGACCGAGCCACTAACTCAGCGGTTGGGTTACTACCCCAAAACTACAGTTAAACCCCGAACCCCCCACATTTAAACTTTGCATGCATCTGGTGTTTGTTGTTGTTTTTGTTGTTAAAGAAAATGGGCAGTGAGTGATTTCTGATTTGATTTGGAGCTTTTGAATCTAGGCTGAAAAATTTTTAACAGAAGCCTGATATGAGGAAACTAGCCAGATCAACTTTATATAAATAATGAGAATGTCAGTCTGTGGCAGATATCCTAGAAACAATGTTTTTTACAGGTCTAAAAACATTTTTAAACATTGCAAATGGCAACTTAAAATTAAAACCATTTTGTTTGAGTGATTTTAAATAATTGCTATTGTGTATTTCCTAAGTCACACATTAGCATAAGAGAATAATGGTATACTGAAAAAGAAAATGAAAATCAGGAAACAAACATGAAAAAAAAGGACATTTATTCTCTTCTCACCATCCTTTCCCAAAAAAGTGCATCACAGATTGTACAGTACCCCAAGTTCATGTCTGTGACAATGTCTTAAACAACCATTTGACATTTTAAGTCATTCAGTACAGAGGGCAGCTTGGGAGCAGAAGGTGCGCAGGCATGTCAAAGTCAGGTATAAAAATCAGCTTGACTGAGGTGAGGCTTTGGGAATTGTTGTTCCTTTTCTGTAAGAGGTTGTTGTGGTCAGCTGTCATTTAACCCTTGTCTACAGCAGCAAGCTCTGAAAGTATAAATTGTAATTAAATACAGTTGCAATCAAAATTATTCAACCCCCACCGCAAATCAGGTTATTGTTGAAATTTACATACTTTCAGCTGTTTTCAATTAACAAAGCCAACAAATGCAATTGAAATCGTTCAACACAACGAAAGTGGTTTCCCCAAATTCAACTGAAAATGCAACTTATAATGATTTCTCCAGTTTCAAAATTATTCAACCCCTTCATGGTAGCATCTTTAGTACTTAGTAGAGCACTCTTTTGCTGTTATGATCTGCTGCACACAAGATTCATAGCCAGACATCAGATTCTGGCAGCATTCCTGAGCAATGAACAATGGCCTCCAGTTCAGTAATATTCTTGGGTTCGCGTGCTGCAACCGCACTCTTCAAATCCCACCAGAGATTTTCTATGGCGTTCAAGTCAGATAACTGTGTTGGCCCTGTAGAATCTTCCAAGATTTCTTCTGCAACCAAGCCTTTATGGAATTTGAGGTATGCTTGGGGTCATTTTCCTGTTGGAAGTTCCAATGATGCCCAAGCTTCAGCTTCCTCACAGACAGCATGACATTTTCTCCTAGGATTTCCTGATACTTCAATGAATCCATCTTTCCTTTTACACGCTGCAGGTTTCCAGTGCCAGAGGATGCAAAGCAGCCCCAGAGCAACACCAAGCCACCACCATGTTTGACAGTGGACAGATTGTTCTTTCTTCATTCTTCTTTCTCCAGACATACCGCTGATCCATCATGCTGAAAAATTCCAGTTTTGTTTCATTGCTCCACAGAACAGAATCCCAAAACTACTGTAGCTTATATATATGATTTTGAATTACATTTCTTGTGTTTTTGAGTCAGTAGTAGCATACAACTTGGAGTTCTGGCATGGAACCCTTCTGCGTTTAGGACACACCTTACTATGCTCACTGAAACCTCAGTGCCTGTTGCCACAAGTCTTGCTGCAGGTCTTTTACAGTCACTCAAGGATTTTTCACAACCTGCCTTCTCAGAAACCTGGTTGCAGCCGTTGATGGCTTCATTTTCCAGGTATTTCATTGATTTTCTGCTCCTAGCCAGTTCAGGAATTTCATGTATTCCAGCTCAAGCACATCTGCTGCAACTAATGAAGCCTTTGATTAGTTGGATCAGGTGTGCTTACCTGTTTTGCATATTTATGCTATTCATGGGGTTGAGTCATTCTGAAACTGGAGAAATCATTATA